AGCATCAGCTTCAATTCCTTTCTTCACATTGGGCGGCATATTACTGTTCCTCAGCCTCTGGCTTTTGTCAATCAATCTCGCCTCATATGCATGTTTCATCGGTCAGCCTCGGGTAAATTGCACCAAACCTTCATGTGTTTAACGAAATGTGCGCGTTTTTCCATTGTGTTTTAGAAAATGCACTAGACCCCCTTGTGTTTAAATAACCGATACACACGTTTCCTTTTTTCAATTCCCTTGTGTTTAAATAACCGATGCACACGTTCCCTTTTTTCAATTTCCTGTTAACGGTATTAATTTTTTTACAACACCCCGTTATACCCTTCGAAATATATATATATATATATATATATATATATATATTTGCGTTAAATTGAATTTATCACGATATATTGAATATATCGCGAGAAATTGGATTACAAAAAAAGTGTTGTCTCTCTAGGGTTCAAACCTGAGACCATCTAAGAGCATGACAAGCAAGCAACCACTACACGACTCAAGGTTTTGTGTTAAGTATAAGAATGTTTATTATATATGGACAATATTTTTTAATTTATATTATTCTATATTATTTTGTTGCATTATTCATTTTATCTTAGTTAACAAAATTTATTTATTTTGTTTAACTTAAGACAATGAAATAAAATTAAAATAAATTTTCCAAATAAAATTTAGAAATTAAAATTATTTATTTACAATTAAAATCATTTACTAAAAAATTATAATTTATTTAAGTTTTTTCATATTGTATATAATAGTAAGTCATAGTAAAATTATTTGATAAATAATTTTTTATTTTATTTTATTATATTATTTTAAGAGTTTTATTTATTTTAATTTATTATTTCATAATAAGTTATTTGGTTTATTATTTATTTATTTATCATTTTTATATTTTATTATCTTATATAATTATTATTTTTATTTTATTTAAATTAGTCTATTTTAATTTTACTTATTTTTTAATTTATTTTTTATATTATTTTTTCATTTGAAATTTATATAATTAATTTATTTTAATAATTAAAAATATTAATTTATTTAATTTTAATCATGCTACTATATCAAGTTTTATCTCACTTTATTTTCACTTATTTTTTTCATTATTTTTATATTAGTTTAATTTTTTGCAAGTTATTATTATTATCAATTATTTAATTTATATTAAATTTACCTATTATACTTTATTTTACTTTATTTACTCTATTTTTATTCTATTTAATTCCTTTCTGTATCATATTATAAATATATTATGTTCATTAGATTACACAATCATTATTATAGCCCAGTGGTAGTGTTGGGTGTTTTCCATCCTTGAGACCCAGTTCCATTCTTCCTTCCCACACTAAATATAATTTTAACTTTTGCAATAAAATTCAGGAGGGTATAAATGTAAAATAGTAATTCTGAAAATAAAAAATTGAACAAATCTCACAGCTAGAGAATGTGTCATACACGTGCGGTTAACTTGGACGGAATGGGGGAACCGTGCATCGGTTACTTAAACACAAGGGGGTCTGGTGCATTTTTTAAATCACAGTGGGGAAACGCGCATATTTCGTTAAACACAGGGGGGTTTAGTGCAATTTATCCATCAGCCTCTCAAATTTGTCATAGGAACACGTCTTGATTGAGGTTTATAGCAGGAACATGAATCTCGGCAGAGAAACAGAGGTTGCTGGCGGAGGTGCAATCAAGCAAAAAGTGAAGATAGTGAAATAAGGGTTGGGCTTGTACCAAATTATCAATCTGCCAACAAGTTACGGGCTGTGAAATCCGCAATTTTCATTTTTCAATCTCCATAATTCAGAATCGCTGGGCCGTCCGAACTGGTACCGATTCGCCAGTTTTAACGGTTCTGAACCGGTTTGAGCAGTATGTAGCCGGTTCCTGCTCCCAGCGGTTCAAACATGTTAACCGGACCGGAACTATGGCCGGTTCCCGGTCGAACCGGCCGGGTCGGTCCGGTTTTGACAACATTGGTTGTAATTCATACTCCCTCTTATTTTTAATAAGTGTCGTTTTGAGAAGTTGCACAATAATTAAGAATTTTTTTTGCCAATAATAACCCTCATCAATGAGGATAGAGATGGATGTTTTGAAAAAAGATGAAGAGTGAATATGAAAAGACGTAGTGTATTTATTAGCTAGATGAGGGTAATAATGGAAAAATATGTACAAAAGATCCAAAACGTCATTTATTTAGTTAATTGTTGATAAAACCATAATGACATTTAAAAAAATTAGGAGGTAGTACTATATACGATTCCAGAACATGGTCAGCCTAAGTGGCAGATTTGCATGCTTCGTAATTTGATTTGTCACAAATATATGCTTTCGTTGATAATTATCACTAGGTAGCCACATCATTTGCTAACTAGGTTTTGACTTAGACATTACTAAAAGATAAATAATACTTTTTTAATTCTAATTTTCTCTTCTTACATTATATCATCAACATTCATGATCGTTATGATCGTTATGTTTAAGAGAAAAATGAGATAAGAGCATCTTCAATGCATAAATATTGTTATCACATAAATTTTGACAAATGTCAATTATCTAGATGGATTGTGAACCACAGAAGATAATATTAAGTTCAAAGCTTTAAATATAAAAAATTATCTCCAATGCACAATGTGATTAAACATAATGTTGTCCACTTGGCAAAAATATAAATAATATAAATAAGTAATAAAATAAATTAAATAATTAGATATTTTGAAAATGGTAATAGTATTTCTCTCTCATCGCTCAATTGGTTGGCTAGGATGTGAAAGAGAATGTGGATAAACCACATTCTTCTCAAAATTGTATCATTAAGTATGTCCACCTCACCACTAAATTGGTGATTACATTGTGCGTTGTAGGATTAACATTTCTAAATTTATTGATATAAAGTGTAATTTATTACAACTACATTACACCATTGGAGATGCTCTAAAGTTAAATGCATACTTACCAAAATTATAAATGAAATATTTATGTCAACTGCCAAACCTAATTTCAAACCAATAAAGTATATACAAACTAAATTATAAAGTACATAATTTCGGCATGTTAGCATTCGAGACATGCGAATGCCGAATATGTCACTCTGTCTCAATACAGTTTGAATTAATATATAGGGGATAAATTTGCTGCAACAATAATGCATTTGTTATTTTTATCTCTCTCTCCTACAATGGTAAAGAAA